CCAACCCCCCCCCATTCCCCCATTCTTCAATAAATCTTTTTCTATAAGTTCCTCATGAAGGAACTGCGCCCATCCTCAATTTTTCGGGGAAGTCGTCGTTTTCTGCTGAATTTTGGTAACGGTTATAAACCAAACCTCATGTTATGAAGCACTCGTAATTATTGTTAGCGCTGAATTCATCCATGGCCTCAAAAATATCGATAACTCAAGTTAGGAGGGGGGGGGGGCAGGTTACACGGAAAAAACAAGACTAGTGTTGAGCACTACTGGCCGTTTAGTGGGGAGTAGTTGAGGGCTGGCGTCTAAGCGCTGTACAGCTCAACACCGGAAGGCAGTTCAGTTGGACACTGAACATGAGTAGTGCTAATCAGATGCCGCGAGACGTAGTTGCGCTGAACAGGTGTAAATTCACCCATAAGACGTCGGAGTCATCGTAGCCTGGTGGTAACGCGCTGGTCTTCCACCGGCGCAACTCGAGTTCGATCCCAGGCGGAGGCGTTTCATATTTTACGCTCGCTCCGAAGTCACTTTAGGGCTTGACACTACTTCTTCCTTAGTGACCCAGCCTCAAGCTGTTTAGTGCCCAGCACTCCTCTGACTTGCTGGCTCCATTTGATCTAACCCTCGTTAGTGCCCAGCACTAACATGTAGGTCCCAACCCTAAGCTCGTTTTTTCCGTGTAGGAGAACCTACATTTTGCAGGGCAAAAAAATCTGAAAAAAGACCCTCAGTCTCTCACCTCCCTCTCTTAACTTTTGATACTCTCAACTTTTTGAACATCGATATTTTTGAGGTCATGAATGCATTCACTGCTAAAAGTAATAGGAGTAAGTCATATTTCATGATTTTTTCCTCCATTGCCAAACCCCAGAAAAACAATGATTTTCTCAAAAAATTGGGGAGAGGGGAGCTCATTCAGGGGGCACTTTTGGAGAAAGCGTTATAGGGGAAAATGTCTTATTTTTATCCGTAGGACACTCATTTACAGTCCAGCGGTTTAACCTTGGATTGCTTTGTATATTCGTGAGGATTTTCTCAAATCAGAATATAAAAATCCAAATTGGAAGGAAGTGTGTAAGAGGATATACAGTTACTATCGTAAATCAAAAGTAATACAACCACCGGGTAACACGTTCTAGAGTTGAACAGCACTGGTAAATTCAAGTCCCTTTGGTGCACCGAAGATCTAGGCCGAACCATTATGATTCTATTCTGTTGAGCGCGGTGACACTAGCGCGTCTCCTGATTGCCTACATTTTAGGAGCAGCGCAGCACTCCTTGAACTTGAGTGTTTTTTTACTCTTAGGTACCTAGATCGCCAGATTTCACATATCAGTTCATTGACCTTTCACAAGTTATGTGAAAATTAAAGGAAAGGCACGAGACATCCTTAGGACGACATTGAAACCTGTGGATTTTGGCTTACCAAGGCGTGACAATGTCAGGGTCGTGACTGTATTTCCCCGTTAAGGAAGCGTTACCACATCCGTAAGTATTTGCTCTTAAATTTAATTCAGTTTAGATAAGAAAGTGGAATTGAGTAGTTTCCGGTACGTTAGAGCTGAATTTAATCTGATGGAACGTAATTAATGAGGGGCTCGGAGGACAAAACGCATAAGTGCATGTTTTTAAAAAATTGAGATATTAATGATTTCCAGTAAAACCAGTCTTAATGCATATTCTGAGAAAAATTCGCTCTCAAATTCCAATTTTTTCTCATCAAAAAGTCAGTTTGAACTTTCTTTCTTTCTCGAAATAGCAAAAACTGCACTTCTGAGCCTTGTCTTCTAAGCCCCTTATTCGTAAAGTTTAAATTTCAAAAGCTCAAACTCGGTGGATTTTCTCTCTTTTTCCTTAATTATTAGGCACTTAATGTTTTAAAGTTTTACTTTCATCTTCAAAGTTAGGTTGAAGAAGCTGATTACTTTCTCACGGCTCGATATTTACTGACGAAATAAGAATGTTGTCAAATGCCACTTCGTCCTAGACACATGACCATTCTGAGCCATAAAATTATGTACTCATTGACAAAAACTCGTCTGAGGAAAAGAAGTTTTATTTAGCCATGGTTTTCAAAGCATATAGTGACGGTAATTGAAACTGCACAGGGAGAGAGCTCAAAAACACGTATCTTGAATTTCAACGTTGCATATTTTTCGAGTTATATCTTTTTCTCACAGTAAACTTAATCCAAAAGTTCTCTTGACACTTCTGATTTCCCTTGCTACTGCAACAATTATTTTGAGCAAATTTGATGAATCAAATAAAAAACATCATTAAATAAATCAACTTGTTTCTCTCGCTTGGAAAACGTAGAAAAGGTACATAATTTTAAACTACTGAGATCAAAATACGTGTTTTTGAATTTCTCCCCTCCAATATGCTGAATTTCCTTACTTATAATTTAAGAAATAATCAAACGTTCTTACTAAAGTGACATTTTTTGAAAAATTTAGGTGTTCATTATTTGAAATAGATAATCTCAAAGAATTAAAGATTTCCAAAAATGAGCATTCAAAGTTTACTTATCAAATAATAATTAGTCAATTACCCATGTATGCAACCATGCACTGCTTTACATTTACCCCTTTCCCCTCGATTTATTGTCTAAAAATTAATGAAATGCACTTTGCATTCCTGCTCTGTTCATTGCGGAGATATCTGATTCATGTTTGAGCACTGAGTTTTTAACTGGCCAATGATTGGGAAGATTAGAATGGATTAAAAAGGATTCTACAATCATGACGAATTGATGCGGAATTTCAAATCATCAGGGAAGGGAACAAAACATTTTTCACCGGATTTAACTCTTCAATTAGACGTATTTCTGTCAAACGGAACTATGTGCACTATGATATGAGCCCTGAGACCCATAAGAATATATGAATAACAGGGCTCACGTCATAATGCACATAGTTCCGTTTGGCAGAAATACGTCCAATTTAAAGGGGAAATATAAGTCGGAATCGCCGCAAGATTTTGATGACTGACTTTTTTTTTCTAGGCCACGAGACGATAAATTAGACTCTCTGTCGCCAGGTTTTAAGATTGAATTTGTTGATTATCTTGATTGGAATCGAACTGTTCCATGCAGCTCTCTTACAGAGATATTTGTCGTTGATTTGTTTTTCATTGTTTTTTGTCAGCTCTTTCCCTCTTGTCCCACCGCGCATTGCATAATTGCCAAATGATGTAAAGGTGAAACCCTTTTACCCTGATTTTACTCTGATGTGCGTGAATTGTTGCTCGTGAGCAATCGTGTAGGCTCGGTTGTGGTATTAGATTCCAAGATTTCTGATAAATCACTTCTTTGAAATAGGGGGCATCGAATCTAAAATACCAGAAAATCAGTCTGCGAATGACAGTAATACTAGTTTTTATGAAGCAAAAGACAATCTATATAGGTTTCTTTAATAATTTATTTTTTGATAGTTCAATTTCAATTGTACTACATAAATATTCATGAGGCACAGCTAATTAGGAGGAGGGAATGTAAATAAGCTTTCTGTACAAAATATCACAGGCGTTGACATTGAAGGAATATACACATTTACAATGATACAAACTTTGTACAAAAATTAAATACAAAACAATATACAGTTACGGAAAACAAAACAATTATACAGAGCGGTCCAGTACGGAACACGTGAAGCTAAAAAATTCTATTAAATAATTTAATTATTAGAAAAAAACCTTTAAATTATTTCCAGTTATACTATGTTCTATCAGTTTTATAAATAGTTAAAAATAATGGGATTCATTTTCATAAAAAAGGTTAAGGGAGGATTGACTTGTTGGTGGGCTTCTTTTTTTCAAAATTACCCATCAAAGTCCACGGTATTTGATCGTTGGCCTGGTAAGTTCTGTCACGGTATGTTTGGCTTCAACTTTTCTCTACCACAACCGTCAAACTTTGAGCTGAACGTAGATCTACGATTAAGGATACAATCAGAGAAGAGCTTACTTTGAGAAAATTCTTAGCCGCATTTTAATTCCCACTTTGGGTAACAGATTAGACTTTCTTCAGAAAAGAGATTAGTTGTGTATTCATCAATGATTTTACGAGAAAACGCTACTTAATTAAATATCCGCCCGCGAATCATTGATGCTCCATGATCAAAGGGCATTGGCCGTAATAGAATTCCAGCCGCCGGATTGTATTAATGAGGTAAATTTATTGTTGATCCCTCGGTATTCTCTACACTCATCGTATTTTGAAATTCATTCAAATGATATGCCGCAAAAATCAAGGAAAGATCCAAGCACCGCGGAGCTAGCCGGACACAGTTCGAGATGAGCTGAAATCGGCTGCCGAAATTTTCTCGAGACGGACCTAACGGAGCTAATTAAATTGAAAAGTCCGGATCACTCTCGAAGATATTGTCCTTGCGAGCAATACAGGATTTTGAGAGCAGACTTGGCTGATAAGAAGCTTCTCCGAGCTTGCGAACGACCGCCTAATATGATTCATCGTCTATTCTTCGAATTTGCATTTATTCGCACTGAACCGGATTATTTCGGCTGTTTAGGAATCATATTTACCGAAACTTTTTCAGTTGTTTTGCGAATTTAGCGCGACCACTTACACCATAAAAGTGTCATCTTTTGCCTGGGACAGTTGTAAGCCTCCGCTTATACCGAAAGTGACGTGAACGAGTTAGTAATTTAATTGTTGTAAGATTGAAAAAGTAATTAATTAGTGGGTTTACGAATCTATTCACAATTAAGATCGATCTAGATTTTCTCAACTTTTATTGCATTCTGCGTTACTACTCCCAGATAACTCAGCAGGGAAAAAGATTATTGACCTATCTGCTGGTTACATCACACTCAATAGTCAAAATTTGGTAAGTGTTAAAGATAAAGTTCACTCGAAGACATTTGTAAAGTGTTATCAAAGCTGTTGATATTTTAAATGGCAAATATTTCTAACTGATAATTAAGGCACAAGCAGTTGCAATTAAATAAATGAGGTAATATTTGACGTTCAATGGACGTTAACAATTCAACTAAGGCAAATTTGTTGAAAAGTAAAGAAGTGAGAAACTCTGAAAATATGCATACATATTTCAGCCTTTTATATCAAATTATGTACCTAATTACAATAGTGGTCAAAGGATGAACGAATTAAGTCATCAAATTTCTATTCTGCTTTACAAGTGTCTTTTTCTCTTAATGCATATAATTTTACCGTGAGCTAAAGTCTGAGAAAAGTATTACCAGACATTTTGTTTGAGCTATCAAGAAAAGCACAATTGAAAATGATCATTACAATACGGAATACAAACCGAATTAGTGCATCGCATAACCTCCTGAAATACAGAGTAATATGTGTATAATTACGGTGTGTCCTTGATGGTTAAAAACACAATTAATGTCAACTAGGGGCTTATGGGGCTGCTTCGCAGCCCCTTATTTTTCCTGTACACTTTTCACTTCCACATGTTTTTTTTTTTTTCATTTATTTATTTTCATTTAATTTTCTGTTTTGTCTTTGAATCGGATCTAATTATTTCTTTGAGAGAATAAATATAACAAATGTTTTCAAAAATTGTAATTTTATTTAGTAAACTTTAAACTAAAATTTTGTTTTAATCTTCATACAAAATTATTTTTTAGGTTTTACATTTGTTTTCAAACTAATTTCAAAGAAGATCTTTTTTTATTTTTTAAATAATTTGCTTTTTTTTATTAAATTGTTGATTCTTCTTTTGCCATTTCTGTCCTGCTTTTCTTCCTATATTTCCTACAACTTTGCTCTTCTTCTTTCCTCCTTTTGTCTTTTCTTTTGGACATTTCACCCTGAAAATGGCGAGCATCACAATGATGACAAATTATATTCATTGAACCGCCTGAAAATTTGGTAACAAAATTTTCATCAAAGTTCTGATCATCAATTTTATACTTCCGAAATGAAGAAATGAAACTTTGATTTTCTATACTAATAACAGAGTTAAGTTCTTGCTTCACTAAACGAACATGCGAAGAATTCTGGAAAACGCGACCACGTTTTGGAGGACGACCGCCTCGGTCATTGAAAATTTCACTCATAACAACTGTTAAATTTAAAATTAAAATTAGTAAAAATTATTATTATTTTAACAAAATCATAACTGAAAAGTTCAATTTTTAAATTAAAAAAAATAAATCAGAAGAAAAAGGATGAAATGAAAATGGAAATTAATAATAAACATATTTATACACATTGAAAAGAAACAGCGTGAAAAGTTCTGATCGGAAATGAGAAAAAAAACTTGGAGGTTATTGACTTAATGAGGAAAAATTGGCAATAGGAAAAAGATGGAACCAATCATGAAAAACCGTAAAAAAAAAAACGCGGGAAAAGAAAAATGTAAGTTGATGGCAGTTGAGTGTTGGAAGTAACCTCACTTAATGATGATTGTTGAATGAAAACAGCTGATAAAAAGACAGCAAACAGTAAAGTAAGATGCGTAGCAACAAAACTTTTCCGAAAAACAAAAAACAAAAAACCCCCACTTCCCCTCATCCAATTTATGAGTTTTTAGGGATTTAAAAATCGGGGACGAACCCCAGAAAATAATTTATAGTTTTCCCGAAGCATTGAGAACAACACCTTTCAAATGAACCAACGCCCCTCGCAATTAGTACAGTGGTTGATTCACAATTTCATTCTATTTTTCAAATTAAATATTAAGATAATGCAACTGAAAGACCATCTAACCTAGATTTAAACTGAAAGAAAAAAATAAAAACAACCCAGGTTGAACACATGGCGTCTGTCACACACAAACAGGTTAAAATTTCTTTTTTTAAAAAAACACTAAAGAAATAATCAACTTTTTAAGTAAGCATTTTTATAAAGGTCAAAATTGGTGATTTTAGATCAAGAGAAGCGTTTGCATTTAAACAAAGCAAAAACCTTGTGTTCTTCATCTCCCCTCACCTCTCACAAGTTGTAACTGAGCATTCCACTTCATCTTCAATTGGATTGCTTGAATGAACTTTGATTTAATTTTTATTGAAGTTTCGTAGATAAATTGGTTTACGTACTTATGCTATAATCCACCAAAAAAAAATTTTTTTACATGATCATGAAAGGCTCCACTACCTCAAAAATTAAAACGAAAATGTCATAACGAAGGAGGTAAAACATACAATTTTTTAAGTGAACACAACGAATTTCTGATGAAATTGATTGGCCGCATTGATATTGCAAAAAGCAGCCCAAGTTAAATATGTTCTGAAAAATATAGAAAAAATGACAAATTTTAATATGCTATAATTTGGGTACAAATGTTGATTTCAAATTGAAATAAGATTTGCTTCTTAAATATAAAGGATTTCCCAAAAATGCACCATCTACTTTTGCTACAGTGCAGATTTCACAAGGAACCTTGATTCTTTTTGTTAGTGTACATGGAGACCTTCCCTTGAAAACTTTATTGCCGTGCATATATCCGGATTAAGTTTCAAAAGACCAAATTCACATGCAACATTTTTTGTAGTAAGCAAACTTGAAACAGCCTGCAATAAATTTCAACGCACGTAAAGGTCCTCTAAAACCGAGGGGGCTGAAAATAATTTGAAGTTAAAAGGATATTTCATGAGGTTTTAAACATCTACACAACCTCTAAAAAATGACTCATAATTCTGATTTGCATTTCTAAATACAGAAATCAAATGGAAATTAATAAATCTGGAGCAAATTTATGAAAGTTACGAAAAAACTCCGGGAAACCGATTCGAAACTATAGCTTCAAAATAGTTCATTAGTATTTTTTACGTTGCTATTTTATGATTGAGGGATATTGTGTGTTAAAACGTATACATTACATTGCTGGGAAAACTTTGAGTGTTGGTAGTTGTTCATTGTTCACAATATCGCAAACAAGTCACAAGGCATGTTCGTGGATCGAGTCTCCCATGTTTCAATACCTTGAATTGATACATAAAATCTGAAATTTTCCTCAAACTTGAAAAAGTACAAAAATATAGAGGTCGTCACAAATTATTATGGGAATTGAATTTTTTGTTGAAAACAAAATTTGACAACATCCACGGCTGGTTTGGCATGTCACGGGATCGATACAAGTAGGAAGTCCGGTTAACCGACTTTCAACCAAGGCCATTTTTAAAAAGTTGATAAACCTCTTAGTTCCTGCCCGGTTAGAAAAAATAATTTTGGAAAAGGCACAGCAACTTAAGGAGCGGTGCCTTGGAAAAACTGGGAATTCTCAATTTGTTATTTTTTTTTTTTTTACTTTTTCAATCCCTTTAATTCATCGAAGTGGGGTTTTTTAATCATACTTTTGCAAGATACATTTAAGGAATAATTTCAAAGTTTTACCAGGGAAGCACGGCCAAAAATATATCCCTCGTCTCTCCTGGGTTTTGAGGTACAATTGTACTCATCACAAAATATTTTTCCTTTGATTGATATCCGTTTACAATAGTTTAATTCGACTTATAATGAAACCTGTTTAAACTAAGTGTCTTCCTGGAAAGAATGACCTCCTCTTGACCACCTTTTAATTCCTCATATGCGTTTCTTAAGCTGAGTTTGCCGGAGACTTTAACTAGTGTATAGAAAAGTAGAGGGTATTTTTGGAGCTTCTTCGAATGGAAATAAGAACCTTTGATTCCAGTGAATTTTAGCGTTATCCTGTATGAGTCACGTGACAAAATTGAAGCCTTTGATTGGTTGGAAGTGGACCAAGCCTCCAAAGTATCGTTGTAACAGCCTGGCCTCTGATCGGTCAAAAAGTATGTCACTTCTCGATCAATCAGAAAGCTGTGAAGTCATGCGACTGGCAAAGAATTACGTTGCCAAATTTCAACGCTAAAAATAGAAAGAAAAAAATCTGGGGCACATAAAGCCTTACATGTTTTCTTCAATGTCATTGGTCTAAGAATACCCTGTAATATACATATTTATTTTTCACTGATTAATCTATCCGTGAATTCTAATTTTTACTATTTTCATACTCGGTTCTACTCCGTGGACTTGAATAATATAGACACAAAGGAAAGGACGGCATAATATTTGCAATGTCCATTTTTTCATACATTGTAAGTTACTTACTTTTTAAATAGTTTTTCTGTCAAGGGGCCTCACAAAAATCCCGATAAAGAAAAAACAAATAAGTATAAATTAGCGAGTCAGTGCATCTTCCTATTCTCTAGCTTTGCTTAAATTATATATACAAATAAAATAAATTAACAATTTTATCACAATTCAAAAATATGTTTACAAAATGATAGTAAATGAGGAAAAAGGCATCTCTCTTGAAGTCTCGATTTGTTTGGTTCGTATTCAGATTACGACTGAATATTAACTAACTTGACCTAAACTCATTTTTCATCTGCAAACTAGTGATTTTATTCTTTATAATTAACATGCTAAACTCACTCTGACACCGCTATGACGCAGATCAGCACCTGTTCTTCTTATATTTCTATGATCGGATTTTACAGCTTTTTTTTCAATGATATTTGTATTGTCTTTTTTCGAATAAAATTTTTTTTCTTCTGTTTTTAGGTCTAGCACTATCTATGGCTCTTCAATGAAAATGACCACGAGGTAAAATAAAGTTACTTGGCTGTTTTTTGAGACTTCACATTTTTCAAAACGGATTCTTTGGCACTTCGTTGCACTGTAGAACGAATTGAAAGCCTGGGATAAAAACAGTCATTTACCAAAAAACGAATAGGAGACAAACAGTTCGAGAGAGAGAGGGGTAAGTTTATGCAAAATTTGCGAGTCTTTTTTTGAAAAAGAAAAAATCAGTCTACAAGAAAGCGAATGAGCTCTATACATTCCACATGAAATGTTAAAAGGGCTCTGAATTGTGGAGGGTGTACTACATCTAAAATCACAACTGAACTAATTAAGCACCTACTTGAATGATATAAATTCATTGGAAAAGTTTAGAATCAAGTGCCATGCCGAAGAGCAAGGATTTTTCCTCACAGGTTTCGAGTATTGGAAGCGATTCTTAAGATTAATAACAAAGTATTGGTGGGATTATTGCTGGATATATTAACATCTATCTCAAGTCTATATAGACTGAATCTTTCGTCTTGGAAATTATTATTTTCCATACGAAGTTTCCGTATCCTCTTGGCGGTGAGCTTTAAATTTCACCATGAAAAAAATGTATTAAATTTAATATGGAAGGCATGCTTCACAACTTCTGTAACAATGAACCAAATGAAAAAAAATATTTAATGAATAGTAGTATACAGTAACTTGACTGACAGCTTACCCTTCAGACATGGTGGATTCAAACATTCCAAACGAAACAAGCCCTTGATGATAAAAAAGGTATGATCAAGCTCTTTACAGGTCAAGCTCTCTTTTTCCATTAAAAAACGAAATTAATTAAAATTAAATAAACTAATATTAAAACAATTTTAGGTCTGCAATAAGCGTTATGGAAGTTTCTTTTAGCTCTTTGCAGTATAATGAACTTCGCCTGAAAAATGGAGTTAAGGAAGGAAAGACATGACTTTGCCAATGTAACCGGTTTCGAGCTGTTTTTCCAATCCATCTCTAAACTTAAAATATGATATGAAATATAATACTGATAAAAAGAATCAATTAGAAGCACTTAGGGCTACTTTCTTTAGGAAGCCTTTTATGGTATACATACACTGTAGCGAAAAGAGGTTTCAGACAGCCTTGAACATGGCATTATAAAATAGACATTTCTGCCAACCTTGAGTAAAATTCAGCATTGTAACTCTGGAACTGGACCCTTCCGGGAGATTACAGTGATTTGCTTTTGAAAAGCACAAATTACAAACGAAAAACTTTTTTGATTATGGCAAACTTTACGGCAGGAGCGAACCGACCTTAAATTGTACAAACTCGAAAGATATTTTCTTTCGTAATCCATATTCTGCATAGCAGCAAATCATTTGAATCCCATGGAAGGATCCATTTCCAGAGTTGTAATAATTTCACCCGAAGTTCGCAAAAATGTCCATTTCATAATGGCATATCCAACGCCACCCGAAAGGTCCCTTAACGACAATGTTTGCACTGAAAAAAAAATTGGTAGATTTTACCATGCTCTGACAGTGATCCGAGTAACGAACATCAGACTCTGTGGTAGCATTTACCATATTATGGTAAATATTACCAGAGTTCTGGTAAATACTCCTATAATTCTGATTATTTTCACTAAATAGTATCACTTTGTATAAAATCAAGTAGACTTATAGTATACGTTACCATACTTTTTTTTCAGTCCACCATATGGGGTCCCTTGAGATGAGGCAGTGTTTAAGGTAGACCTATGAATATACGGCCCTTACACCTGTTTTATCCTCAAAGGCTTGAATTGACTGAAATTGAGAGAAGTTGGGATTCTAAACAATTTCGGGCGTAGGAACAGTTTTCGAGTCTACGGAGACCCTGAGCGCGCACGTGCAAGCGTAGGGAACCTTTATCGTCTCGTACTTATGCACTTCCTGGGACTCCTCCGAGTCGCGGTACTGAACGTGGACCTGGGAGACAAGTTGCGTACACTTGTAGTTGCCCATCTGAGCGCAAACGCACCCCTGGTTCCTGCACTCCACCCTGGTGATCTTCTCCGGGATTCTCTTGGGGTTCGTGTCAACTTTGATCTCGTACGAGCACATGGACGCGAACTGACCCTCCTCCAGGGTCATCTCGTAGTTGAGCTGCCGCTTGTGCCGGTAAGGGTGCCGCCCGTACTGGTACGGGTACAAGTCCATTTTCTCAGGGTCCGAGCCCCGCTTCTCCGTGTTGTTCTTGCCGGAGGGCATCAACTCGATGCTGTTCTGGTGGTTCGGCACCGTTCGGCTCATCACCATTTGGATGTTGGACAAAACGAAAAAGTACACGATCAACACGCAAGTCGGGAACAAATTTTTCAACATCGGCCGGCATTTTTTTACCAAGTTCCCGCACGGTTTTTCCATTATGCAACGTTCGAGTTCTGAGACGGACCGTAACGGAAACAAAATAACAAGCTCCCGGATCACTTTCTTGATCGATGCAAACGTATGCCGATATTGCGGGCGTCGCTGAGTAATTTATTCGCTCCTAATCCGCGATTATCGAAAGCTTAACGCCTGATTAAAAAACACTTGACCGAATATTAATTGTTTTCATCGAACGAATTCCGATCTTCGCGATCGAGCTTGTTTCCCTCGAGCGGAGCACACGCACCGATATGAAATGCAGATTCTAAAATAACAACGATAGTACAAGCTTTAATGAAAGTTGATTGGCTGAAAATTCACAAGCACCACAAAAGCACACTCGAAAGAAGAAACGATTTCAAAGTTGTCATCTAAACTTTCGGGAGCGAAATGAATCACACTTTTAAAAAAATTATTTTCCGTTGACAATTTTAAAAATTTAAAATTTTAAAGGTTCACCACCGAAACGTGGAAATAAATACGAAGAAATTTAATCGACGCACTGATTTGTCTTCTTGATTAAAAGTGAGCCAGAAGAAAATTCGACACAAGTAAACTGCGACAGTTAAATGAACGGAGGGCACTGAGAAATTATCCAAAGTGGCAAGATTTCGCGGCACAAAGTTAAAGATGCACTTATCGCGACGGCGGAAAGGAAAGAGCGGTCGATGAGTTGTGCGAAACTGAATGCAGTGGACCGGGTTCGCGGATAAACCAGACGAGGACGAGCGGAAAGGAAATGGGCACGCACGAAATATGTAGCTCTTTTTAAAACTTTAATCGGAATATGAGCCGACTCGAACTTGTTTTCTATTTTATACATTCAAAATATACAATACTACGGCGCCGCACGGGTCCGTGCACCCACCGCGCATCATCCCGCGGGAGCCGGACCAATGAGAGCCCGCCTCGGCTCTGACGCAAACCAGACGTTCAAAAATCGCTGGGAAACCGCCTAGACGTGCTCCCCCTTTCTTACCCCTTTTTTGCACTCCTTTTCCTCCCCTTTGCGTCGCCTTTACGAAACGTAATTCAAGGGGGACGTGGTCATTTTATTCCCTTTTCTTGGGATCAGATATGAATGAGTCGCTACCCGGGCTGTGATTGGCCGGCCCCGCAGACAGTCTCGCGCCGGGCCCCCTCCAGAGCGCGTCGCGCGCACGCACGGTCCTCCACAGCGTCGGTTTCGGCGTCGGCGGCGTCGCACTGGACCCGCGGTCCGTCCTTCGCTCCCCATTTCATCTGCCAGGTGTCACTGAAACTTCGGATAACTTCAGTTTTGCATAGTTCCTGTAATGAGAAAAATACTACCTTCGTGGAGAAAAGGGACCGTAAAACCGAAAACTTCATCAAAATTGAGGGGGTTGCAAGACAAGGCGCTCAAGTACATTTTTTTAAAAAAAAATATTGAGATATTTATGAACTCAGCTAAAACTAGTTTGAAAGTATATTCTGCGAAAAATTCACGACTAAAATCCAACCTCGAAGCATTAAACAGTGAGTTTAAACTTCCTTTCCGCCATGAGGCTCCATGTAATTTTGAAACTAATAACTCGTATTTCTTGAAATAGCAAAAATTGAGAAATTTTTTTTGAAAAAGAATTGAGATATTCGTGAACTCAACTAAAACTAGTTTGAAAGTCTAATCTTTGAAAAATTCACAACTAAGATCCGACCTCAAAGCATCAATCAGTGAGTTTAAACTTCCTTTCTGTCATAAAGCTCCATGTAATTTTGAAATATTTTAAACACGTATTTCTTGAAATAGCAAAAACTGCACTTATGCGCCTTGTCTTCCAAGGCCCTAAATTGAGATAGTAGCACTGCACGGAGAAAAATAAATTTAGTTTTGCCTCAACGATCCACATGACTGCTGTAAAATACAAAAAAATTGTCGCCTCGAGCGGATAGAATGTCTTGAGGACAGTCGCTGGCCGTCCACAAGATCAGAGCTTGACGTTCGTAGTAAAATCTTCGTCCTTTGACTAACCTCATGTACAGATTCTGTATCTCACGTCTAAAAAACGTCTAAAAATCGGAGTTGTGACTGTTTTGAAATGTGCAGCTCATAAAACATTTACTGACGGTGCAGCTACTCGGGAAATGCGGGTTGCGTCGGAGACACAGGAAGGCGTTATGTACGCCCACGTCTGCTCTGGTTTGCATCTCAGCTCTAGGCCGGCAGGTAAGAGACGCAAAGTGTTAAAGGTTCCGTAATAACTCTTGACCTACGAGCTTGTGTCTCCGACATAACGTTTTTCAACAGTGTATTTAAATATTTAAGCTACCAGATTTGGAGCTTAAAAGTATCGTACAAAAGTGCAAACTCACACTCTCTATGAATTTTCAAATTAATTAAACCGATTTCACTGCCGATTTTTTTTTTCTTAGTTCGAAAAGCGTTGTCCGTTCTCTCTGTGGACGAGACTGGACTGGACATGCCTAGACGTCCCTGGACTGTCCCTCTGGAAGTCCCTTTTTCCTGGGATGGTCACAAAGTAGAAACTAGAAAGTACCAGGGTTGCACAAAAATTACGAGGATATTATTTGTCATACACAACCGAATAACGTGTCCGATTCATCAAAAATTTTCCGAATCGTTGGAATTATCTATAATTTTTAAAATTTATCAAATTTTAATGATCAAAGATGTCGAGTTTTAAGAAAACATGAAGATTGGCACGAATCGGACGGCAAGAGGCAGAATTAGCCTGATTCCATTTAGCGATGCAAAATTCTCTTCCGCAAAATTAATCATATTTTATTTCCTCTTCCTTACTAATTAGATAAATTCTCAAACCAATATTGTCAATTCTTTAATAGAGGATACAATTATTTTTTTTTAAACAAGTAAACTTCGATTTTCAAGACCCGTCAAAATTTTCGGCTTGAGTAATTGAACTGTCAGATCCAATAAACCAAATTTGGGTCGAGGAAACCAAATTTGTCGGTTGCCTTGCTAAGATTCTCCGGTCATCTGATTGTGAGTCGGACTTTGGCTCCTATGTGCGAAAACTTTGCGCGAACTCTGTGTAAAACAAAGTTCGACTATCTTAACTGAAATTTTTTTCTACGATTGCAATGATAGGATCCGCGCGAAACTGCAGTTGAGTGAATCTGCAGTTCCGCGCTTACTCCGATTACTGAAATTGATAGACAAAGCAATAGACAAAGAAGACATAGGGAGTATGGAGCTATCCTATTGGTTGAAATGGGTGGTTCCTACGTAGACTAAGGGAGAAAACGATGGACTAGCCATCGGGTCCTTCGTGGGTTGCCATTATACTCAGTCTATTACCTACCTTCTTTGTCCATTGCAACCACCTGCTTCCACCAATAGGTTTGTCTTTTATCTTCTTCGTCTATAGCTTTGTCTATCAATTTCAATAGTCGGCCTGCCGGGGCGAGCGTTTTAAATGATAAAAACTTCGTATCGTGGCTGCATGTTTTTCCTCGGCAAGTTGCCGTGGCGACGAAGTTTTCGACGTCGCGTCGCAGCGTGGGAAAACCGGCGATGCTAGACCGAGTGGCGCGCGCCGCGGCGCCTCCTTCGTCGGGGAAAATTGTCCATCTCAGCACTCGGCCCTTGATGAGTCAGTTCCCTCGCGGGAAAAAGGCACGCGTCGTGGCGCTATGCAGCCTGAACACCTGGGAAATTCAGCCGCTATAAATAGATTCAGCCCGGAGGATCTCGAAAGTAGGCCGAATCGGCGAGTGGTTATGAAATTGAAATGAGATGCTCGACCTACCAACGGGGAAGGGAATGTTATGTCCTCGTCGGGACATCCACTTTTTGCGATAAGTCCATTCGGCGGCTTTTTGACGCACAAAGGTGTCTGCGCGCCACGTCCCGAAATCAAGCGGCCCAGCGCATGAATATTTTGTGTATTTGAGAAAATCAAGTTTGAAGTTTAGAACAAATTACACAGGGCCTCACGAATTAGAGAAAGTTTGAATTATTAGTGTTGATGGATTAAAAGTTGAGTTTTTATAACCAAATATCAAAACTACGCCAAAAGAATAGTCGAAATTATAGACGGATTGAACCAAAATGAGATTTACTACATCAGTAGTCGCCTAATTTCCTCTCGTGTCTTTTTTTTTCCATCCATAAGTCACCTATCCCTCATGTACTTTTTTTCCTAATCGACACAAAAAATTGAAATTTTGGGGATGTTTTTAGATATAAAGTGGCAATATTATGACCTCCAAACAAATTTTTAAATTTATGTGTCAAGTGGGAAAAAATTTATAGGGGTGGTCGATGACTTTTGAATAACCCTAAATAACTGAATGAGTAAAAAATTCAACTAACCAAAGATTGCTCTCCTAAAAATTTCGCCTCCGTGCGCGATGGTTCCTATCCTTTTCCGTGGAAAGTCACTCATAAGAAGGTGCCAGATGCGGTCATAATATTCTAACAGTTTTTACCTGAACTGGGGAATTAACGTAGAGCCTACATCGTTTGCTGCGTGAAGTGAATTTAAAAATAGCTTTCAGCAGACTTGATCACTCTCGTAAATGAGTGACTTGGAAGAGAAGGTGCATAAGTGCAGAGTTTGCTATTTCGAGAAATTCGTGTTTGAAGTTTCGAAATTGCATGGAGCCTTATGGCGGAAAGACAGTTCAAACTGAGTTTTTGATGCTTAAAAATTGAAATTTGGGAGCAAATTTTTCACAAAATATGCCTTAAGCCAATTTCACTTAAAATCATAAAAAAAATTTTGTTTTCAAAAACTGCACTTATGCTCCTTGTACCCCAAGCCCCTCAAATGTTCTTTAAAATTCTCTTCATTAATGATTATATCACTGCTTTGTTTAGTCTGAACTACTTGTTAATATTGCCTCTTTTTTGTGCAAGCTTATTTTTCATTTAGATAAGAGTTATTAATATGGAACAAGTAGTTTATTTTGAATTTTTACTGCGAGTATTTAAATTAACCTTTTCATCCGTATCAGGTTTCTGTAATGAGTTTCCGGATACATTGACTTCGGATATAACTTTTACTCAAAATCGTTAGCGGGATAGTAATTTTACATCGTTTCAAATGTAAAAAATTGAGTGTCAGATAAAGCGTTTCTCCTTTTTTTGAACGAATTTGGATTCGATGTTTCAAGCCCGACGGAAAATCGCCATAGAATAATACTCTCGAGTATGTAACGGCCTGCTTTATAAACTTGTTTTTGTCAACCGTGCTGTTCCGTTCTTTCCCGGAAAAACATAAAAAACAAAGTATTTTAATCTCTCTTTTTTCATCTTTTTTTTTTTTTCTCAGTCGCATAACATGCCCTTTGGTGTCCAGATCCTCTGCCCTCCGTTCAGTTTACATCACCCGTCTCAGTGTTACATATTTGAGCTTATGAAGTTCAAGTTTATAAGGTGCTGGTGTGAGAATCAGTGACCCAGTGGTATTATTTCCATAATTGCGTATAATTATCATTGGAATTACATTTCAACCGTTTTGTCACAGTTATGAGGAGTATTTAAACGTATTTCGCGTATTTGTCATGAGTCAGTCACCGGACCCCTCTATGTTAGCTCGGCATCATCAAGCAAAAGGAATGAGCAACATAGGGATTTTAGCAAATACACATCAATGGTGAAACTGCAGAAATGCGTATTTCAGTTTGCGGCGTTGTAGACTTCCGTCGTAATTTATTTCCTACTTGGAAAACTATTGAACGTTATTTTCGGAAAATTTCAGTGATTTTTTTTTCATTGCAAAGAGTATTCCTTGAAAACTTCAAGCCATGATGTTGATTTGGTCTCTTTTTAAAAAATAAACTAGGAGCAAAGATTTGGCAACACCACGACCGAGGTATGCATATTTGCAGTTTCACCGCCGATATACCTCTAACATGACTTTTATAAATTGTACTTTGATTTTTGAATCTTCCATTATATGTATGGATGCTCTCTGCTCAATGGACCAATTTTTAAACTTACAATGTTCTCACGCACACAAAAAACAAAAACAAGAAAAAAAAGCAGAAAAAAATGGCTGAATGAGTAAGAAAAAGCAGGGTCTCAGTGGAGGACAAAACTTTATAAGAAATTGCGCCAAAATTTACCTCGCCAATTTTTCCCCGATGAGTGTTGTTCTTTCTCTCACGTAGCATTTAGGGATCGATTTATTTTTGAATGGCAATTTGTGCAAAGGGGAAGAATCACTAGATTTTAGCCGTCCTATATTGTGAAAAACATTTTCGATTATTTAAGCGACACGTCTTTTATTCTTCTCTTCAAAAGTTAAAATTTCTCACAGAAATTTTGGAACAATCCTCTGAGACATGTCGAAGACTGTCGTTGGCTAGAAGTAGGAAGTGAAGTTTCATCTACGTGATGCACATTTAAAATACTTATACAATTTATGGACGTGAATGGTGTCTTAGCCTAGTTTTTTATTGAAAGCCAAAAATGGTATGATTTCTTCAAAGAAAAAACTAGTATCGTTAATCAAGCAGTATCTTTTCCTTTTGTATATTTTAAACATTTTAAGGGTTTTGTATTTTACTTCGATGTGTGCTAACACACAACCAGGGTCACCACGATACTATCTGTGCCTATAAAAAATAAGTACTGAAATGACTGTTCATTTTCCAACCATAACAACATGTATGAATCGCTAAGAAAATACAATTTGTAGCAAAAGTCTTATATTGTTCATACAATTTCTTGCGGACGGCTCATTCCTATTCATTAAAAATTGAGGAAAAGGCTGCATATATTCTCATGCAAGGGGGTCTTTGCAGCTATTTTTGGGGAGTAACGGCTAGAAAAACTGTATACAAAATTGGAAATTACACTGAAATAGATCAAAATTGAACAAGGCTGTCCCCTAGATCAGATTTAATACACCATTTCAGTGGGTGATCCAATGGATGGTGATGTATAAAGACATTTGTTTCAATCCATGACCTTGACCTGTATTCCATTAAAGAAAAATGTTCATATGTGTCCCCAATTGTATTCATTTTCAAAATTCATTTTTTTATTTCACGTTCTCTTTTCTACAGTGAGGTGCTCCAGGCAAAACTCACGAAAGGTGACTTCGAAGATGGATCCTTCTCGGTATAACTTTGCATTCTTCAACGATGTTTCACTTCAGCCGAAAATGGGCCCAACGAAGTCGAGTTCCCATGACCTTGCTAACTAGATGGGAATTGCATTATTACGAAACACATCCGCTTCCAGACTGATCAGTACAAAAGTGATAATTTTTCAGATTCGTTCACACCGGGTCACCAATGTTAGCTGATTGAGAGCAAAAAACCTAGAGGTGTGAAGTGCATTCCTCACCGAGTGATATGATTTTATTTCGGAGGCATATGAGTGCAAAATGTGAGTTCTCTTTTTCCCTTATCATTTCCTTTTCGCAAAAAAAAAATGTGCATTAGATGGTTATGATATAAAACATTATGGATGAGGATGGCAGACGATCGGTTGCCCAAGCAGGTCTTCGATTGGGTTCCTCCCGGAAGGCGACGGCGTGGACGTCCTGTGAAAGGTTGGCGACAAGGGGTGGAGGAGGAGATCAGAAGGTGCCAATGGGCCTGTTGCAAACTTTTGCTAGAGCAAAACTAAGAGTTGTTTCCTACAGATAATGCCTCAAAAATCACGATGAGCGCATCGGCAAAGTCTGAAATGCACTCATAACTTCACAATCTGCGTAAGAAAGAGCCGTATGCAAAAACGACATTTTTCGCCCCCCCACTAAAACTTATTCAAACTTCGTCTATCAGTTACTAATACTGAAGCGCTTCTTTCCCCAAATTTTCAGACCTCCAAAAAATTTTGGGGGGGCGCTAGGGGGGTGGAAGTCAAAACCTGGGACCCTCGATATCTTTCGAACGAAACAAGATATTGAGGCCCAGTTTGGACGAAAAATCGTCTAAAATTGCATACTTTAAGATTCTATAGGTCAAAATCCCAAAATTAAATTTTTAACTTAACTTATGTGCTTTTTTTCAGTTTTTGAGGAAAAACAATTTCTTTTAAACGGATTAAACTGAAATTTCACATTTTTTGATTTGAACCAAAACCAGTTTTTTAAATTGTTCGTCTTTTTCCGCATCCAACGAGTGGTCGTATAAGCTGGGGAACCGAACGGTTCCGGAGTTATGATCGATTGAAGTTTCCGCTCAACGCGCGCCGACCGATTTTTGCGCGCAAAAAAGTCGGATTTGACTGTTATTAAATCAGATTTAATGTTCAAACTGAGCAAAATGCATTATTAGGGACTCTTGAGGGTCGCTGAGTCCAGAAATTACAGATACTTCCAAAAAATTCACGTTTTTAAAATTACAGCTCCGTACAGGACCACTGAGCGGCCGGTTGGCGCTCAGTGGGCCTCTAAAATAGCGCTACGGAGCTGTAATTTTAAAAACGTGAATTTTTTGGAAGTATCTGTGATTTCTGGACTCAGCGACCCTCAAGAGTCCCTAATAATGCATTTTGCTCAGTTTGAACATTAAATCTGATTTAATAACAGTCAAATCCGACTTTTTTGCGCGCAAAAATCGGTCGGCGCGCGTTGAGCGGAAACTTCAATCGATCATAACTCCGGAACCGTTCGGTTCCCCAGCTTATACGACCACTCGTTGGATGCGGAAAAAGACGAACAATTTAAAAAACTGGTTTTGGTTCAAATCAAAAAATGTGAAATTTCAGTTTAATCCGTTTAAAAGAAATTGTTTTTCCTCAAAAACTGAAAAAAAGCACATAAGTTAAGTTAAAAATTTAATTTTGGGATTTTGACCTTTAGAATCTTAAAGTTTGCAATTTTAGACGATTTTTCGTCCAAACCGGGCCTCAATATCTTGTTTCGTTCGAAAGATATCGAGGGTCCCAGGTTTTGACTTCCACCCCCCCTAGCGCCACCCCCAAAATTTTTTGGGGGTCTGAAAATTTGGGGAAAGAAGCGCTCCAGTATTAGTAACTGATAGACGAAGTTTGAATAAGTTTTAGTGGGGGGGCGAAAAATGTCGTTTTTGCATACGGCTCTTTGCGGTTTTTTGAGCTTCCCGCTTCAAAAACGATACTACGGTACAGGTGAACATTTTGTTAGAGGAGTCGTTCCATTGGCGACAATACTCATCATGGCCGACGCCAGTCCGCCAAAACACGTGTGATGGGACGAGATAACACTTGAACAGGATTAAACCATATAACAATCGGCGTGTTTACGTTCATATTTTCCTCGCCCGCCTTAATTGACCTTGAACTCTCCTCGAATTACGCGAGGAACTGCGCAAGCGTCGGTCATGATGAATATTGCCGACGATGGAGCGACTCCTCTAACAAAATGTTCACCTGTGCAGTAGTATCGTTTTTGAAGCGGGAAGCTCAAAATAACGCAAATTTCTTACGCAGATTGTGAAGTTATGAGTGCATTTCAGACTTTGCCGATGCGCTCATCGTGATTTTTGAGGCATTATCTATAGGAAACAACTCTTCATTCTGCTCTAGCAAAAGTTTGCAACAGGCCCATTGCCTGATGATCTCTGGGAGGATAGGGGGCAATGGCGATTGAGCGTCGCAGAGCGCGAGGCTGCGCTATAAAAGCGGCTTTATGTATGTATGAATGAAGTGATCACGGCTAAAGTTTCCTCCAAGCGCTTTAACAATAGATTGTTTGTTGATAGGTTATTATACCTACCTATCAACATGATACATTTGAGAGATATGAAAAATTCATTTCAGGGGTCGGGTATGCAATCCGCGCCGAAAATCACCCCCCCCCAAAAAAAAAAAAAAAAATCTAATTTTTACATCATGGAACTGTAGATTTTTGTTTCTTCTTCTCGTGCGTGAGTGAGACGATAAGTACGTATGCATCGATACAATTGTTTTGATAATGGAATCGCATTTTACAGAGACACGCCATCTCTTTTTTAGAAGAATGTGATTCTTAATCGATCGCGTTAAAACACTGATAAATCGTCGTTTCACATTTCACCAGAATGGACGCTTGTGCGAAACCCACCCACACACAAAAATAAAGAGCTCATAATCACTCTCCCGCGTAAGGAAAACGGTTCGAAGGGTCGGGTGAATTGATAAAATGTTGGAAAAAGGGTTATAGAGAGGAGGTGGTATGTTTTTGAACCAAACGGTTCAATTATTAAGCGTGAGCTGATAATTTACGAGTTAAGAAATATGTTCCATTCTGCCATGTGTTAACAAAATTTCACGTGATGAAGCATGTGAATTTTCATTTCATTTTCCATTTTTATTTCATGAAATTAGGCCACACTGATGCTGACTCTGTAGTTTTATGAGAGATTACTACTCAATCCAAAAGTATAAGTATACCTAAGTATAAGTCATTTTACCCATGATTGGCTCCTCGTCTTTTAATGAACCGATACACTACACGGAGAAAAATCTATGGCTTTGTAAACCAATTAGTGATTCATTAGGAGCACCACTAACAGTGGTAAATTAACTAATGATTCTCGGTCTGTGAACCATACCAAGATATAAATACCATACTAAAGTATGTATATCATCACTAAGGTGTATATGCTATTATTATTTATTATGCCTTTACCACTATTAGTGGTGTTCCATATGAACCACTATCGCTTTTAAGCCATAGCTTTTTCTCAGTGTGAGTAACCCATTTCTTGAGGATAAAATTGAGAAAACTAAAACTTTTGGCAACGGGTGATCGACGAGCAGAAACGAGAGAAAACTTAACACGATGCGCGAAAGTCCAAAATAGAAGCTCAGCGGTGGGCGAAACTGAAAGCCAATCAAAGCTGCATAAATCAACTCTGACGAACTTCAATCTCGGATCGACGGGTTCGATTTTGGACGGGCGCCGGCGATTTTTGTGTTATCGTCCAGACAACAAGGTCTATCTACACGGCAACGGAGAGCCCCACAGGATTGCTAAGAATTGCGCCTGGTTTTCTACGTGGGCCCTAACGTGGAGAACCCCTCGTTGGACGCAGAGCTCACGTGGAAACGTGGTGGAGTCCCTAATACTCAATCGGTGGCTCACGCCAAAATTTAGATAGGCGCCAGACTGGGGCCGTTTGTCCCCTCTTCAGTACTGGAATAATTTTGCGGCTTTGACACACATACCTGGACGGCGGCGCATAGCGGCAGATTGCCAGATTTCGTCTTTTCCCAAACGAAGAAACGTAAGGTCATGCTAAGGATCCAAAATTTACTCAAACAATCCAATTTTTCACAAGAACATACTTGCGCAATTTTTTAAAGATATTTTTTCTGATTCTTACATGATCGGATGAAAAATTGGTGAAATCCACAGTTAGAAATTTCCCAGATTGTCTTGGTGCAAATGCGATTTGCACCGGAAATATGGCAACATTGAAATGCAGTTAAGGTCTTTCGTCAGAAGCGACGATTTAAGGGCAAAATTCTGGGGATTCCTTCTGGATAGAGTGCGGGAGGAGGTTACGCCCGGCTAAGATTCGGTTCCTAATTTATGACATAGGGATGAAGAAAGTGTCCTGCTCAACTAACTTGCTCTTATTTCTCCCGATGTCACTCGGTGGCTGCGTTTTGCGAGTGGCTGGCAAATTTGACCACTACCAGTTGAATCCCGGTTCGAGCCTGACGGCCGGCCCTGATTTTCAAGGAGGTTGCAAATTTTTAACTCAGAGATTTGGTGAATGCAACCCGAAGATTTGGTCCATGTAACTTAAAAAGACTGATGATAAAAAAAAAAAAAAAAAAAAAAAAAAAAAAAAAAAAAAAAATACCCGCACGTCTAGGTTACCTTATGATCCGCTTCGTATATTAACACAACATGCCGGTTACTTCTTCTTCCGTACTACCGTGCCAAGGAAGAACGCCGTATGAGCATTCGAGAGTTGCCAAATTTCCTTCGATAAAATGTTCATTTTTGAGGCAAGTTATGACTATTTTCCCTTGAAATGTTCAGGAACTTTAAGTGAAATTGCAGGCAAAATCATCTGAAAAATTGGAAAGAAAATATTCCTAAGTTTACCAGGAAATTCGTGTTTTATCAAAGGAAATTTGGCAATACCTGGAGGCTCATACGGCGTTGTTCCTTAGCCCAGAAACGAAGCCCTCCATGCTTTTACAAAGATTCCAATGACGTTAATGAACGTGAACATTTATTCATCTAAATTTTTTTCTAATAAATTTTCTTGTTATGGAAATTAGGAAAATCAACCCAATTGCTACGTGTAATCCATGAAATCCGGTCAAAATAAAAAAGGAATTTCCAAATACAGTATCATCAAATCTAAAATTGGAATTTAGCTATTCATACCTCTGTATTACTAAGAAATAAACTCCTAGCAAAATAGATATTGTTAATCTAACCTTCGTATTTTTAAATTTGTAAATTTGTTAAATTTTTTTATTCAGTGAAATTTTGCAGCTCTGAGCGGCGGTCTTGAGCGGAGGGGGAGCGGTGGAGCCTCATCCGCTGCGAGGGGTGGAGCGAAAATTAATTCCCGCCTTCTCCGCGACGTCCCGACCCCCATTTTGACGTGCAGCTTTCCGAATCTGCACGACCGGGAATCGATTCATGATCCCTCTGTGCCGCGGCCGTGTCGCGGTCGCTGAGGCTGGCCTCTCTTCATCCGGTCGCCGCTCCGGAATGCCCTCCTTTCTTCGAGACCCCACCAATCACAGAGCCCCGCCGCCGGACGCCCATCGTCGTCGCCAGCCCCCCCCCCCCCCCNCTGGGCCCCGGGGCCCCCGAGAGACTTCCCGCCTCGGGGCCCGCTTTTCCACCAATAATTGAAAGTGTGCACATGGAAGATTGTTGACTAGGTATGTGATTGTTCACGGTGAAAAATGACCTTAGGGGCCGTTCAAGTTCAAGGGGCCACTGGTAAAAAAAACCGCTTGGTTCAAGAGTGCAGTTTCTTGTCGCCGGATTTAAGAGTCTGGACTTTTGTTTCAATGCAAAATCCGCTTGAATCAATGCAAAATCCGCTTGAATCAATGCAAAATCCGCTTGATTCAACGCAAAATCCGCTTGAAACAAGAGTTCAAGACTCTTAAATCCGGCGACAAGAAACTGCACTCTTAAGTCAATGCAATGCGGCATTGGTCCAAGAGGTTTTTTTTACCAGTGCGGAAAAATTGCATTTCTCAATTTGAAACTATAAATTCTGGATCTTCTGGAGAAACACTAATGTGCATCGGGAAACTAATGGCACATACGTTGTTTTTAAACCGGGCTAAAATGTATAGTTCCAAATGGGCCTGTTGCAAACTTTTGCTAGAGCAAAATTAAGAGTTGTTTCTTATAGATAGTGCCTTAAAAATCACGATGAGCGCATCGGCAAAGTCTGAAATGCACTATCATAACTTCACAATCTGCGTAAGAAATTTGCGTTTTTTTAAGCTTCCCGCTTCAAAAACGATACTACGGCACAGGTGAACATTTTGTTAGAGGAGTCGCTCCATCGTCGGCGATATTCATCATGGCCGACGCTTGCGCGCAGTTCCGCGCGTAATTCAAGGAGAGTTCAAGGTCAATCAAGGCGGGTGAGGAAAATATGAACGTAAACACGCCGATTGTTATCTGGTCTAATCCTGTTCAGGTGTTATCTCGTCCCATCACAGGCATTTTGGTGGATTGTCGTCGGCCATGGTGAGTATTGCCGACGATGGAACGACTCCTCTAACAAAATGTTCACCTGTGCCGTAGTATCGTTTTTGAAGCGGGAAGCTCAAAAAACCGCAAATTTCCTACGCTGATTGTGAAGTTATGAGTGCATTTCAGACTTTGCCAATGCGCTCATTGTGATTTTTGAGGCATTATCTATAAGAAACAACTCTTATTTTTGCGCTAGCAAAAGTTTGCAACAGGCCCATTACAAAATGTAGTCCAATTGTCTGTTTGATTAATAAGAATCCCACTTTATAATTGGACCGAGTTCATCAGGGAGTAACCAACTCACTTTGAGTTGAAACTGAGAAAAAGGAGGTTTGAAGTTTTATTCCTGCATAAGGCAAATTTCCAAAGAAACACCGAGGACGTTGAAATTATATCAGAGTACTATACTAAAGACAGCTAACAAAATCCTTGAGACAAAACTGATGGAATAATCCGCAAGAAATTGTGAATTACGAATTTTCAGTATTTTGAAAGAACTGGTATGAAATTATTTAAAAAATCACACAGTAAAAAACTTAATTGGGGTAACGGCTTACCGAATTCAAATTGAGGGGAGGCCTACGGAAATAACGCTTCATTAAATGTAAAATACACCATTCATATACCGGAAAACATAGTTGACCCCTCAAAGTTGATCATTAGGGGAGATTTAGGAAACATACGTTTCCCGATCTATTCAATGATAATTAAACTTTAATTCCATGTACTTAAAAATACTTACCGGTCGGCGATAATGATGGCGGCTTTAAATATAGCTTGAAATAGGCTTAATTCATTTTTTCGAATATACCTTGGTCGTTGGTCGGAAGTAATGGTCATCACTGTAGAAAAAAATTCACCATTCGATCATAGGACTGGAAAAATGCATGAAATGCAGGAATAAACCCGGGACAGAGAAGTAATATCTAAGATGGGGCACTAGCTAGCGTCTGATGCTTCGCAATTCAAAATTACCATTATCGTAAAGTACATTTCTCTTGCGGCGTCTGATGGCTGCTACCCTTGTAACGCTACCTCATGAAGCAAGATTGCCGCGCCGTGGATAATTTTAGCATATTGAATTATTTATCGACTCTCCGTTTGGGCTGAATCAATTAATAGATATCAACTTAATTTGCTAATTTCAGACAAAATGAATTCTATTAATTTCCCGATGGATTCAGGTGATTTTTTCGAGGCTTTCTTTCAAGTGAACTCAGTGCACTTTTCCAGTTCCTTGTATGGGCGTCGTATCTTTTCGTCTGTCTGCCTGCTTTAAGATTTATTTTTACGTATGACAACAGTGTGTTATTTCAGAGCAAGTTAATATTGGCGAAAATGCAAGGTAAATATTAAAGGCTTCGGTGTATAGCAAACACTTTCGCGGTGGGGTGAAGAAAATGTAGGTAAAAAGCATTCGTTTTCCAATTACAAATGCACGTACAAATGAGTTAACGTTGTTTGAGCTCGTTAGCCTCTCTATTTCCTTTTAAATATTTATTAAATGACACTTAAGACTTGTGAGTATGATTTAGACACGTCTCTATTACAGACTTGAAGGGCCAGGGACTTCGGACGAACATTCATGATGTGTTGTGACGTCGTGAGAGGACTGCCAAACGAATCAGTTGCGCTGGTGCAACGGATCGCATTTTGTTCATTTTTTGTAACCCAAGATTGTTACAAAAGTTACGATTGTTTAATTGAGTAAAGTTTACAAATTAATGGAACATTTTACCATTGGTACAAAACCCAAGTCTTAACACCGATGACACAAGCATGCCCATTTTGGAATGTTTGATTTCAGAGAGAATTATATTGAATTTTATTTATTTTTTAACGCTGTTGTCGGCAACATTGCACAAAGTCAGGATTTTGTGCAGATTCAAAATTTTTATTTCGTGGTGGCAAAATTCCGAAAACCCTATATTTTCCTTTTCAATTAAATTCGTAAAATTGGTCTTCACGAATGAGTTAAGAATATATTAGTCAACATTTTTCAAAAGAGGCGCTATATTGGAGTCAAAAATTTGCGTTATTTTACAAAACTTAGCGCTGAGAAATACTCTCAAAACAGTTGAGTCACCACGTAAAACATACCGGCCACCATGGATAGAAGGATATCTGGTGAAAAGTGCCCCAAATTGTCCTCGGTTTGCCAAGATTTGCGTGATGCTAGAGGTTGTTACCCCTCCGAAATATGTAGGTAAATTTTTTTTTGAATTGAAGGATGAGCTGTGGACTCTTGGAAAATGAATTGAGGAAGAAAAATACTTAGGGCTATATTTCGATAATTTATGGTCAATACTTGGATGTAATTTTTTTTTTTGAGTGGGGGGACTAAAAATTTGAAATTTTGCAAGAAAATTACAAATTCTTGGCTGCTAAGAAGCGGTTTTGCCTACTTCCAATTTTGCGATTTTTGACCCAAAATAAACCTCGGAAAAACTCAAATTTACCTCGAAGGTTCCCAGCTAGAAAATGCGGCGTGTCAATAATTACTTTTAAAAATATTTGTTACTCATTTGAAGAATATGTCTAGCAAATTTGCAAATTTAAAATGCGTAAAATACTCGCGCTTTTTGTCACAACCCTTATTTTCCCATGTCTGATATTTATACCTACTGATCTTTTGCAATGTTCTGTTTCAGTGCTTCACGGAGACGTACTTATCTTAAGCACTGCTATCAGTTACAGCGCTCGAAATTTACCGCTACAACATCTGTAAAATTGTGCTACTGCGATAAGTACATTAGAAAAAATGTAAAATGAAATTTCCTGTGTTTCAAAACTCATTGACAAATGACTAAAAATATAATATTCACAAATTATTTAGATTTGTTTATATTTTTACGATCCTAACATAAAAATACCCAAAACAAAAAAATCCTATGATTGTAATTTCATAGTTACTGATAAGTATTCATACCTATAAATACGCTATTTAAAATTATTCATTCTCTCTGTGTGAGCATAATGTTGTCTTTCTTAGGCAAGTATTAAAATTTAAAAAAACTCAAAATATTCTGAAAGTTGATCGTGAAACATACATTTGAATCTTCTCAAACTTTTGGTTTTTTTTAAAAAATAAATGCTCAAAATTGAAACGGAAAGCCAAATTTCTTCATAGAAAAAATTGACAGAAAGTAAAAGGAAATTCCACGCGCCCATTCAAGATACAGAGATAATTTTATTATTTATTTTAATTTGTTCAAGTCAAAAGACCCCAAAAGGTGGGAATGCCGACTGTTCAGTGCGGCGCAAAACCCGAAATGGGGTAAAACCTATCAAGTTCCAATTTTTGATGACAGTAATACTGTTTAATTCTCTGAAAAAAATTGGTCAAATTTTCAAGCCATTTCTTTGCATTGTCAATGGTATCGAAGCGTTTGAAACTAAGCACTTCTGACGCTTTGGACAGGGCAACTCTATCAACAAATTTCATTTATGTTTTCGTTAAATTCACGATATTGTTCTCAAACTCTCAAATGCTCTTAAAGGATTTTCTTGTGCCATCTTATGCTCAGAGTTAGCAGTTGAATTGTTATCTCCTTTTATTTTTTAGCCCACCCTAAGGGCCCTCTTGACTGACTCCATTAAGTGCATGGTTTCAAAATAAGTAGCAACTCCATCAGGTCAATTTCAGTAGGTTCATTTTTGTTGAACTATTTATCCCATCATATACAATTCCACAAAAGTTTTTGGCTAACTTTAAAGTCCGCGCTCTAAATGGTCATCCGGGAAAATCACGAGGGGGCATTGGCATGGAAAAAAACTCAAAGTTCCTCGCTTGAAGCTTGGAGGCTTAAACGCAGCGTGAAAAATGAAACCATTTCATGACGTGACCATTCCCTATTCGTCCAATCCAGCGGGTTGTGATAGCATCGTGAAAAATATTTTCATTGCCAAAACCTTAATGACAATGGCGATCTTGAAAGTCGACAACACTGTTTTTCCTCCATTTAAATGTATGTAAAAAATCGATTATTTTTGATGATCGATATTTTTGATGAATTTACACGGATGAACAACAGTGCTCTCGACTTGCAAAATCGGCACTGCTCAATGAGTCGGGAAACACTCAGGAAAGCTTGGAGACTTAAACGCGGAGTAGGAAAGTAAACCATTTCATGACGTGACAATATATTATTTGTCCAGTCCAGCTGGCCATGATAGCCATCGTAAAAACATTGCCTTTGGTAATGCACGATGCTCTACTGTCCCTAATTTAACCAGTTTTTTTGAACGAGTGTCCAAAGATTATTTGAACGGATTCGGCAACGCGAAATGCAACTGGATTGATTCCGCTGAGATCTGTCCATTGATTGAACGTTTTTTAACTTAGAGATTTTCTCTCAACACTGGTTTTAATTTTCTTCTTTTTATTTTAAACGAACCGCGTTCAGCAGAAAGGGACCAAGCCACATCAGCTATTGCCAAATTTAATCATGCAATATAATTTGTTACATAAATACAGTTGTGCGGATTTGTTTTGCAATGGACCACTAGACAAGGTACGAATTTCAGCATTCTGATACATGTTTCTCAACCAAAATTTCACGTAGAACACGATACGCACAACGAAAATTACCGAAATCAACTCCTGACGAAGATATTTAATGATTCTTGATGCGTGAATTCAAACCACCCGCTCATGAAAACTCAATGCTCTACGTGATTCACATCGCGCGCTAAACGTTATCATGGCAGTCTCTACGATTTACAAATCTGGCAACCTCAATCTTGACGCTTTGGCTCAGCTATAGCAAATTGCTTATAGTTTGAACAACACATGGTGGGAAATGAACATTACTCGACTGAGAAGCTTGCTGAAACCGTTGTAGTGCGCGATTTGACTCACGTAGAGCTTTGAGTTTCTTGTGAGCGGGCAGTTCAAATTCCTCGTGTGCAAAATAAAAACGTTAATATCTTCGTAAAAAGTTGATTTCAGTTATTTTCATTACACGAATCGAGTTCTGCGTGAAATTCTGGTTAAGAAACATGTATCAGATTGCTTAAATTCGTACCTTGTCTAGTGGTCCATTTTCAGTGAATTTTCTGCATATTATGAGGCAAATTTCCTAAAATGTTCTAAAGAAATCGCTTAAACGCTCTCTTGTAAAAATTCAAATTGCCTAGTTAAATTTGGCAATAGCTGATGTGGTTTGGTTCCTTTCTGCTAAACGCGGTCCAAATCATACTTCAGATTCACCTAATTATAGCTGCGCAAAACGGATCAAGTCAGTTCGTCGCTCTCCTGACTCCTGAAATAACGGCGTAACTACAATCAGCAGTGAGCCCTGTCGTCCATACAATTTAGTGCTTTGCCGGGCTCATCTCAATGTGTAGTTGCACCCTTATGTCAGCCGGGCGACGAGTTGTTCAAACTGACAACTGTAGCTCCGACGCGGTAACAGGAAGAATATCCGACGTTAAGTCTGCCACTTGATTGATGGACACAGGACGTTGACTCTGGTCAAGACCATGAAATTTAAAATAGATGATATAATAAATACTTTAAAATATAAACGGTTTCGCGCATGATTTTGCATTAAAAACCAATTCAACCGGAAATTCAGCCGGCGGAACAAAGTATATTTTTGGTGCAGTCCTTTCGGAACCCGTTAAGAGGCATTAGGATCCATAGGATTAAACAGCTTGCTCCTTTCTGATGCGCGAAGATTCCGAGAAAGATGAGCATTCGATGAATTTAAACATGATTTGTTGAACGATTCGCCACTCATCAACTCATCAGACCCGTTTTAAATATAAACAAGTACGCACCGGTCTGATAAACAACCGTTTTTTGACTTTTTTAAAATTATTTTCCCAATTTTCAGCTGAATAGTTTCAGGGCTCTCAAGGGTTTATTCACAGTTTTCTTAGATTAGGTGGCACTGATTGCACTTTCTGAAAGCACCTCACAATTTAAAGTTTGAAGTTTGAAAATAATATTCAATATTCTTGGCAATATTTAAAAAAATCTATCTCCCGTGGTCTGATTATTGGAATTGATAGATAAAGGAATAGGCAAAGAACACAAATGGAAAATGGAGCGATCCTATTGGTGAAAGCGGGTGGCTGCGATGGACATAGGGAGTTATTGATAGACTAGCAATAACGGTAACCCAAGCGCAAGAGACCCCAAAGTTCATTCATTAATCGGCATCGTTCGCCCTCAATAGCTGAAATTCCTTATGATCACACCTATAGCATGCCTCTTCTCCTAATAATGATGTTGGAGAAAAGAGGATAGATGATTAGAGTAAAAAGAAGGAAAAGAGGGGAGCATTGGCGGATCCAGCAAATTTGTAAAATTGCTTTTTTCCATTTAAATGAATGGATATGTATTGATTCTTGGAGGGGCCAGGTGCTCCAACAAGAATAGATTATTTAGCATAGGTTTAAATGGAGCAAATCCAGTGTTGCCAAATTGTAGGATCCGCCTCTGGAACGGAAATGATAATGAGAAAAATATGAAGAAGGAGAAGAAGAAAATATGGAAGGAGAAGAAAAAGAAGAAGAAGAACAAGGAGCATAAGAAGAGTAAGAGAAGGCGAAAAAAAAACAGATGAGAAAGGAGAAAAAAACAAAGAAAAAAAAAAATGCCCCCCCGGTTTTCTCATTTCCCCGAACCTTCCTTGGTGACGCCCCAGTTTGACAGACTGGGGTTAAATTTGCCAACTTGTCAATCGCGGCAGAATCCTGTGTGATGCAAGTGCAGCGAGAGCTTTATTAAACGGGCCGATTGGTGGGGGGGGGGGGGGGGAGGGGGTCAGTGGTCACTGCGGCCGGGCGCAGTTGGGTCGCGTGGCCTTAGCCCCATGCCCGCTCTCGTGCGCCCTGCACCTGCGCCGGCCAAATTCGGAGCCCGCGTGACGTCAGATACCGCGGGTCGCGTCATCAGGGTCCGCGTTGACGCAGTTTTCAGTCGTTTCAGCGTGCCCGCTCTGCTCTCTGTTACGCCAAGTTGTAAGCTGATCTTTCAACTTACGTAAACCCAAAGGAGCCCGGCGTCTCGCGCCACGTGCTGTCAATCGCAGCCATATTCTCTCGAGACTCCTACGCTCCGGACCATCGGCGGGTCCAGCAATCTGGCAACACTGTCTTTTCTCCATTTAAACCTATGAAAATGTATCGATTCTTGGGGGGCCTGTTCTCCAATAAGAATCGACTGTTTAGCGTAGGTTTAAATGGAGGAAATCCGGTGTTGCCAAATTGCTGGGTCCGCCTCTGCTCCTGACGAATAAATTTCGAAGAGCGTTGCATCGAAGCTGCGCCTTTTTTGGATAGAAGCCGTTCGATACGTAGGTATGGATTTTTCACATGAAATACAACGAAAATTGGGCAATGAGCCATATTCGTTACGGAGTGGCGTCTTGATGTCTGTCTCAAAGAAACATCTGTCGAATGCTCGGTTCCTACGGTGAAATATCGCCCCGCTCAGAGCGCTATGGATGACGTCATCCATCGTGGAAATTAATACAGATTTGGTCTCATCTTACCCGTAGAGCTAACGAGCGCAAATTTCAGTCACCAGTGATTTCTCCTGCCAAGATATGATTAGGAACGCTGTACAAACATTCAATACGATAAACTGCTAGGGGTTATCCTCTAAAATTGTGGTATTGTCCCGATTTTTTGGATGATGGGCATTTCTAATTAATTATGGTAGTACCGCAACTCAAGTTGGGATAGTATCGCAACATTCGAGTTAGTATAGCCTAATTTATTGTGGTATTACCACAATTCATTCGGGTACTACCACAATTAATTGGGGGACTCCCACAATTAATTGAAGATGTTCATATTATCGAACAGTCCCTTCCTA